CGGCTCAAAGGTTGACTCAGCCTTCCATCCTTCCGAGGGGGGTAAAATAAGGACCCAGACTGTGGGGGCAATGTGCTGACTCTGTAAACCGCTTAGAGAGGGCTGAAAGCCCTATGAAGCGGTATATAAGTCTAACTGCTATTGCTATTGCTATTGTTTAGCAACGGGTGTACTTTGGTGCATCCTGTGGTTTTCGGTGGGGTTTATTTTTTTTTTTGCTGGATTTACCTCAGATTTTGGCAAAAATCCCCAGTTAGTGTAATGGGTTTGTTTAACAACCGCTGTGGTTCAGCTTCAGTGTTCATTAACCATGCTGCACATCCAACATATCCCAAAGGTGCTTTTTTCAAGGGGCAACTCGACGTTATGGATTTCTTTGAAGGCTCTTTTGCTTCTCATCTAAGAAGCTTCTTCAGCTCTTTGTTTGAAGAGCTTAGATGAAGAAGCGTCTTGGATGAGAAGCAAAACGTCTTCAAAGAAAAACCAGAAAGTCCAGTTGCCTCTTGAAAAAAAAACCACCTTTGGGACAACCAGGACCTTGGATAGCTGAGGATCTCCATAGACGTATCCAACACATCTGCCTCCTCCGATTCTCCTCACAACAATCCATTGAGGTGGGTTGGGCTGAGAAAGAGTGACTAGCCCCAAGTCACCCGGCTGGCTTTCCCGCCTAAGGTGAAGAGTAGAGCTCTGTTTCGCCACCCCAGCTCAGCTTTACCGCACATGCGTGCGTGTGTCCCGCCAGCCAGCTGATTTTTGGGTCTCTGCCGCACATGCGCAGGGTGGGGTGCATGTGGGAGATGCTTGTACATGTAGGGGAGGGGGGAGCACGGGGCAGTATGGCGTTCCCCCTCTAACCTGAGGCCTGTTTTTGGTGTCAGGAGGCTGCAGGGAGGCCTACTAGACCCAAAACTGGGCTCTGGGGCGAGGAGAGCATAGGGAGGTATGGCGCTTCCCCCCTCCCCCGGCCTGTTTTTGATCCCAGGCGGCTGCAGAGAGGCCTGCTAGGCCCAAAAACGGGGCTATGGGGGCAGTAGGAGCATGGGGAGGTATGGTGTTTCCCCCCCCCCCACGGCCTATTTTTGGTCCTAGGAGGCTGCAGGGAGGCCTACTAGACCCAAAACGAGGCTCTGGGGTGGCGGGAGCATGAGGAGGTACGGCTTTCCCCCCTCCCCCCTGGCCTGTTTTTGGTCCCAGGAAGCTGCAGGGAGGCCTACTAGGCCCAAAACGGGGCTCTGGGGGCAGTAGGAGCCGTGAGCCGACAAATGCACACCCGACAAATGCGCGCCGACAAAACCGCTGCGACAAAACGGCGAAGTCGAAAGTGCGCCCACTAAAGCGCGCCGACAAAACCACGCCCACAAAAGCGTGATTAGGGTTTTTAGGTTAGGGTTAGGGCAAGGGTAAGGGTAAGGGTAAGGGTAAGGGTTGTTAACATTGTTACTGTTGTTTTTGTGTTATTTTCAATGGCGCGCATTTGTTGACGCGCTTTAGTGGGCGCGCTTTCAACTTCGCCATTTTGTTGCAGCGGTTTTGTCGGCGCGCATTTGTCGGGCGCACAGTTGTCAGTGAACCAGTAGGAGCATGGGGAGATATGGCGTTTCGCCCTCCCCCGCCGGCCTGTTTTTGGTCCCAGGAGGCTGCAAGGAGGCCTACTAGGCCCAAAACGGGGCGCGGGGTGGTGATTGTGTCGCGCATGCAAGCACAGTGGGGCGGGGCATGCGTGCAGGGGTTGTCCTGTGCACGTCGCTTCATGGGTGTGGGTGTGTGCTGTCACACGCGCCCTTGCACATTTGGCACACAATGACAAAATGGTTAGCCATCACTGCACTTAGACCAAGCTGGCTCTCATTGCTATTATTATTTTATTTTTAAAAAAAATTTAAAAAAAATCTGCAGGGCAAGTCTCTTTATAATTGTATCCTCAAATGCTCTTTTCTCCTTGGTGGAGAAGTCGACTAGCCATTCACTCAGTCCAGCATATAAAAGCCATTAGAGAGATATGCCAAATGTTTTTTTTTTCCTTTATTGATTGTTTCTGTGTCCTCTGGAAACTGATTTCCAGACTCCTTTACCGATGCCAACACAGCCCTGCCAAACATGCTTTTTTCTACTCTTTGTCTCCTCCATCAGGCTGCCCTTGGTATTGCAAATCTCATCGTCATGGCTATGGTGGAAAATGGTCTTTCTAGTGAAGACGCTTACAAGAAAATTTGGATGTTTGATAAAGACGGCTTATTGGTAAAGGTACGGTGCCTGTGAATTTGGAAAAATGTTAGATCCATGTGTTCTGACTGAAGCTTCCCCAAGAGCATGAAGCTAACTCCTTGTCCCGACAAAAACCTCTTTTATTAATTTACTGTGAATTCTGCTCACTCACATCCAGCAAAGTCTTTCAAGGGAGGATTTACAGTCACAGACCTTATCTGGCTTGGAGAGCTGCCAGGCTGATATCTGCAAAACTTGGCAAGGAGTCTCGGAGAGTCACCAACCAATTAAGCGAACTAAATTGTCTCCTGCAAACTCCATTCCCTTTTCGCCCCTCTTTTATTTCCTCTGGGAGGGGCCATTCATCATCCACCTGCGGCCCTACTCCAAAGTCAACCCCTGTTCTTTAGCTGTTCCCTTCGTCTGGCAGCTCTGTGTATGTGCACATCAGGAACAGGCTCCAGCTGT